CTAGCAAAAACAACTCTATTGATAGTCTTGATGGTTCAGATAGTGAAAGCCATCCTAAATAAGGTGTACTTCAAGAAGACACCATCAATGAAGACCGGAGCATGCCTTATTAAGTACCGCGCATACCACTTGGACCATGACCATGACCATGATACAGAGAAATGCAGACACCTCCAAAGCATGTTAGAGGAGTTTATTTGAGCTAGGAAGCTCAAGGAATTTGTAGCTACGCAAGTAACGACCCAGAGGCATGGTAAAGTTCTAGTGGAAGGAATTTTGGGTGAGACTGTCTAAGCTCATGCCATTAACATAGCTAACATAGTTCTTACCTTCTTCTTTAGAGAAGGAGATTCATCCTGTAGAGCCAGTCTAAAGAGGCTTCAATCAGACAAACTACGTGTTGCTGCCATTACACCCAAACACAACACAAATCCCCCCATTGCTTTTATCGAGGTAGATTTGCCCCCAAGAAGTAATTAATGATGCCAACATTGTCATGACACTGATTAAAAATTATTAGATGGGTAGCATTCTGATCAACACCGACAGTTTGATGAATATCTTGTTTAAAGTGGCGTTCAATAAGATGGGTCTAATAAACGATCGGTTGATTACTGCAGTTGGCTCACTCTATGACTTCTCTGGCGATAGAAAAAAGCCTTGAGAACTATCTTCTTGCCAGTTACCCAAAGGGAAAGCGACAAACAGTTCACGAACATAGATGATTTATTAACGGTCAACTCACCACCCTTACGATGCCTTCTTCAGTCTGCCCCTGCTCAACAACTTCAAGGTTGTTACGTCAACGTACCACGTAGCAGTGAAGTTTCCAGGCGACGAAGAGGTGATCACCATCCGAAGCAATCTAGAGCAATCCCTTACATGCTACCTCCAAACTGATCGATTTAACGTTATCGAGCTGAAATCATGATAGCCCAACCGACTCAATTGTAGGGCAACCAAGCAATAAACTCGTATATGTAAAATACTTAAAATATCTTGTAACTGCCCCCACTAAAGAAGAGACATAAATGCAATATCACATATTGTACTCTCTCCCATATAAATAGAGAGATCATTTTATTGGAATGAGAGAATTGACAAGACCCAGACATTTTAGGTCCCTTTTCTCTCCCTGTCTCTATCTCTCTCATTTATTACGTTCTCTTATGTTCTAACCCTTACGTGTGATTCACACATAAATCAGGATTCAACAGACAAAATCTAGATAGTCATTATACAAATTTTAGGTTAAAAAAATAAAAAAAAATTATATTTTGATTTTAAAAATTTCAAAAATTTAATAGATTTAAGGAGATAATCTAAACAAGAATAAAAAAAAGCATTAGAGCGTCCGTACGAGAATGACAATTTGGCTTATTTATTTATTTACTTTAACACATATTATCTCCTCAAATGTATTAGCTATTTAACTTGTCTTTATAATCAAAGATATTCATCAAATCAAATGAGCTGCATAAACGCTTTTGAATTGGCAAAAATTTAAAAAAGCTCATATATTTTAATTATTATTTAATAATATAGGCAAATTAAAAAATATAATTTTAAAACAATACAAAATCCCATTTCCTTTCATTTTGTTTTTTTTTTTTTATTAAATCCTAATTCTAATTTTTCCTTTGCCTAGAACCAAATATAAATATCTATTTTATCCACTTCATCTAATTTTAATAAATTAATTATAAAAGATATTTATTTAAGCTAGGTAAAAATAATAAATTTATCCCAAGCTAACAAGTAAATTAGGCTTCAACAAGCATAAATAATCACAAAATAACTTATAAAATGTAAAAAAAAAAATGTACGCACACAAATTAAATATAAGCAATCAATATAATAGAAGATATATTGATTTAGCCAAGTATTGCTATACAATTTAAGAGTAATTTAGAAACTTGACCTATAACTAAAGAGTTTGAACAATGGGAGTCTTCTATTTTTGGCATGAGTCATCCATGAGTCATATGGTGTCATCGGGTCATGTGGCTCAATATTCATACTAATCCTAATTCTGAACCCCTACACTTAATTCTAATTAAATTATATTTTAAATTCTAAAATAAAATTCTAACAAGGCTTGTAAGAAAAATGACACTAGAGATACATAAATAAAACATGTATATTCAAACATCTAGACTTGGCACCAACGGTTGCCAAACCTTCGTCCCATGAGCATGAGTCAATGAACACCACAAGCAAATTCATTGTTTTTTAATTTATTCAAGTAATTTGCCCCACTAAGCATGACTTTCAACATAAAATATAGTTAGAGTTACTAAATGATCGCTCTAACATTTAGTCTAGCACACAATCAATCATTGTACGATTCATTCTATTCATGAATGTTACACTATATCATATCAAATAATACACAATAATCAATCAATCAAGCATTGCCCTAACCTAAATCTAGGTTAATGACCTAGCAAGCATATCTAGATTGTGAGATGCACCCTAGCCCTTATAAGATGGGCACCCTACCATAAATTTTTAAAATTAATTTTAGCTATTTTTATTTGAAAGTTTATTTGATTATTGATTTTTATAGTCTTTTAATTTTATTTTAAGTTTAAATGACTTCAAAATTTCATAACATTAAATTCCAAATACATAGAGACCCTCAAGGATATTTTAAAAAAAAATTATTAGTCTTTTATTTATATATAATTAATTATGATTTATTAATTAGTTTCTTAAGAAAAAAAAATCAATTTAACGCACAAAACACCTACAAAATTTATAAATATGATTTGAAGTGAAAGATTAAATTGAGAAATATCTCATAAAAATTATCTTAATTTTGAATTAGTTTGAATTATTAAAATTTTAAATTATTTTAAAAATTCATGAAACTTTACAAGTGTAATGGAAAGATATTATGACATCATGATAAAAATTTTCAAGTCATTTAAATATTTTTTTTTATTTTTAATAAATTATTTAATTTACATGTAATTAAAGTTATAAAAATATTTATCATTCAAAATATAATGATTCAATTATATTGTTTTTTTTTTTTTTGTATTCTCTATTCTTAAGTTTCATGAGGTAAATTTGGTAAAGTAAGGAAAAATTATTACACTTAATTACTAATGCCTACTTAATTGTACCATCCCTACACTAAAATAAAAAATTCACTGATAAAAATAATTTAACTAAATAAAATATATAACTAATATTAACTTATTAATTAGGCCTACAAATACAATATAGATTGTCGGTTAGACAAATTAAAGGAAATTTTATTTTCATTAACATTAGGGCTCTTAAAAAGGCTCGTTGTTCGTGAACAGCTCGTGTTCGACTAGTTAAGAAGCTCGTGTTCGGCTTCTTCGCTAAGTTAACGAGCTGGACACGAACAAACAAGAACAAAAATTTGTTCGTTCATGTTCGGCTTGTTTTGGCTCGAAATACTATTAATCAATTATAAATAAATAAATAAATAAATAAATAT